CCCCAAAAAAAAGAAAAAAACAAAGGACAAAAACATAAAATACGACAAAATAGATCTGCTAAAGCTGCAATGAAGGAGGCAGTAAGCCCTTTAGAGAAGGCCATGAAGTTTTGTGAAGTAACATGAGGAGCTCAGTCGACCCATAAAACATGAACTAATGTACTATGAAGAGTATCTAAAACATTATTAGTTCCTTAGTATCTTTTAGTTGTGAGGATAAAGTACAGACAACATTTGTATGGGAATAGGCAGATACTATGAGCTAATAGTGAAAGTTGTGTTTGTAGTCAACCCGGTAAGATTTGTGCCATAGTTTCTGTTGGTTTAGTGGCTTAGTGCATTGTAAACTAATTCAGTATTAATTCCATGATGGGCTTCATTCCATCTTCCTCTATTATTAAAATCTTATTTTAAACAATAGCACAGGGAACTTGCTTTCCCCCCTGATGCAAAGACGATGCCTGAAATTGGATAGTTTTTTTTACTTTTTATTTTTCGAAATATTTAGAACCTGCCATCCAGGAGTTGTTAATGTAAACTGGATAGATAAAAATACATTAAATATTAAAATCTGCAAAAGTTGGTATATTCAGAACTTGGAGAAAAGAGAGGAAGCTACATTTTAAATAGTAATTGTGGGCACAATGAGCAAATATGTTGTAACTTCAGAAAAAGTTGAGTAGATCTCTGAAACTAGTCTACTCATGCTTGTCAGTGGTGAAGTTCTTACCACTTTTGAGTTGTCTTTATGCATTTTGCATTCCCAGCCGTAATGTAAATCTCTAGTATGTGGCTTTCTGAAATTAAAAATAAGAGCATTATGTTTATAGAAATGTCTCACCAGTCATTATAGGAAGTATCATAGATGCACTATAGTTGGCTAGAAAATGCTAACACGAATTTGGGAGGAAGCTTTGAGGATCAAGGTAAATTGGAAAGTTTTTGGCATTTTTCTCTGAGTAAAACTTCATTAAGCTGTTTATGTTGTTATTACTTTTTCTTCATGTGTAATACTTTCTTCGCGACAAAGGGTCTCTAATATGTGGTAAGCTGAAACCACCGAGTAATCTGTTTGTGGCAATTCATATTTATGTTGATCATGCATCATCTACCAAGTTCCTGTTTACCACTTGTGCTAATCCTTAAATAAGGTTCCCAGAGAACTAACTCCTTTAATATGAGAGTAAAATTTGATTTCATCGGCAGTGCTTTTAAAACATAAGAACGTGTCTCTGCTCCTGTGTGCATGGGAGGTTACTGAAGCTAAACACTGCCTGTGTATGCTTGATAGAATGTGTATTTTCTGTATGATTTCTAGTTGTAGTTCGACAGAAACTTGACCACATATGTCCACCACATTGAGAGAGAGGTGTGTTGACTACCTCTCTCTCAATGTGATCTTCGCTAATATCTTATTACTTTTGTTGCCTGAACAATAGAATAAGAGATTTTCGTAGGATTCATGATTTGACGGATCACTCTGTTTTGTTAGGATATTTGGTACTGACAAGGGTTACAGAAAATTGAAGTCGCTGAAGGACAATGAACGTTTCGAAGCTGAGGGCAGAGAAAAAATGTGAACAAGACGGGAAGGGGAATAAAACTATGCCTTCTTGGGCATCAAACTACGGGTTTCCGGTAGAAATAGTATATAGGCCAAGGCTCAAATTGTTGTAACTAGTCATCTTGTGCGTTTGTTGTATTCATCTGTGGTCTTAAGAGTAACATTTTTATGTTAAGGTGGATCAATTAGAAGCTTGTACTGGAAAACTTTTTCTCCCTGCAAACCTGCCGCCTTCCCCCC